TGTTGTTGTTCGCTGTTGTTGTTGTAACTGTATTTCTCTGTCTTAACCCCCTTAATTTGTAATAGATTTCTTCAATGTTAATACAAAACTTGGCTCAAGCATTTTTTTAGCTAATTTATCAATCAGGTTTTTAGCAATTTACTTATATTCAAGGAACCACTTCACCGTTGGCGTGTTTGTGTCCGTATCAATCAATAATTCGGGGAAATACAGAAGTAATATTGTGCATATCTGTCTGTCTGTCTGTCTGTCTGTCTGTCCCGAACAAATTTCTAAGATTACTTGGCTTTTGTTTGTCTACCTTGATAGTGTGTAATACCAGGCTCGTACTTTAGGATTTTGAAGGAATTTTAGATTTGTGACATAAGACCCGTTTTCTCTTTGAGGTTAAGAGAGGGGACGCTACAGCTTATATCAACAGCAAAACTTTTATCGTGGAAGAATTGCCAACGCAGATAGCTTAAAATTTTCTGGGAGACAATTTGCGTTGATACCATCCAGATTAGAATACAATTTGCACAGAGCACCTTAAGATACATTAATGGCCGGCCTTTGTATCTTCAGTATGTTTGCAGCTGGTGGTAGGATGGTTAGTGCTTGTTGAAGGATGTATTGGTAGCTGATGGTAGGATGGTTAGGAGTAAGAAAGGTATTAAATCTCTCTCTCTCTCTCTCTCTCTCTCTCTCTCTCTCTCTCTCTCTCTCTCTCTCTCGTGTTACAGACGTTAAGTACACTAATAAATAATAAAACACAAATATAATGATAAAATAGTTAGTGTCAAGTGAAGAATGTCTTTAAATAAATACAAAACGTAAACAAACTAAGAAAAATAATTAGTTTTTGAGGGAAAATATTTATATGTGATGGTACCTGGGCACACCTAAGCATTGTCATGTCACCAGTATTTTAGCAAGTCTCTGGGGGGGGGGGTAATGTTGTCTATGAAAGAACCATCTCTCTCTCTCTCTCAGTCTCTCCAGTGGAAAGCATGAAGATAAATACAGGATGGAGAATATCTGTGTCGGAGAGAGAGAGAGAGAGAGAGAGAGAGAGAGAGAGAGAGAGAGAGAGAGAGATTTTTGTTGAATAGAGAGAAAGTAGAGAGTGTCGAGTCTATTTATTTACTAAAGGAAGGAAGGAAGGAAGGAAGGAAGGAAGGAAGGAAGGAAGGAGAGTAATAGTACACTCTCACCCTCTTCCAAGCCTCTCTCTTCCACCTCCTCCATCTCTCCCTGAACCCTCCTCAAAACATTGGCAACACGAACAAGTGGACGGTGGTGGAGGAGGAAGTAATGGGAGGGGTGGGGGGGGTGGAGGTGGAGGTTTTATAAAGGTTAGGGGAGAGGAGGGAGTTGGAGGCGTCACCTCACGAGCCTCGAGTTTTGTTAATGAAGCTAGTGAGTGGGCGGATACTGTTGCCTGGCCTGGGTGGGTATAGACTGGGGGGGGGGGTGGGAGGTGGGTGTGTTATCATGTGTACTATACCTGAGGTCACACATGTAAACAAACACTGGATCATTAGCCGTAAAAGTAAACAAAAACCTCGCTTATAAAAAAGATGCAACAACTCGCTATTCATTTTTTTTACGTATCTATTTGTCACTTTTCTGTCAATGTTATTATGTTCTTGGACAGACTAGCTTATTATTTTTTGTATTTTTTTTTTTAAATTTCAATGTGTGACAAAAAAGATATATTATAATTTCTCAACATGCCCCCTCCTCCCCCAACCATCCCCCTTCACCTCTCCCCTCAAAAAATACCCAAAACGAAGACCAAAATGACTCCCTTTATCCAGTTTCCAATACTGCAACAGTCACTTTAATCGACGATATATTTAGTTTAGTTTAGTTTACGTTATGTTAGGTTAGGTTAGGTTAGGTTAGGTTAGGTTAGGTTAAGAAAATTATCCCCAGACACCTGAAGGCCGATGAGAGAATAATCCTGATATCTAAAGTAACAACAGAATTTATTTGCTTTTATTTAGTTTTTAATGAGTGATTAAAAGTCGTAATTCTCTTGTCTGTTGAGTATTATTGCTGGAACAAGTACAACAGTTTCAGTCTCCCTGTTGGTGGTGATGATAGTGGTGTTGGGGTTAGTGGTGGTTGATGATTGTGATAATAGTGGTGGTGGTGTTGGGGTTAGTGGTGGTTGATGATTGTGATAATAGTGGTGGTGGTGTTGGGGTTAGTGGTGGTTGATGATTGTGATAATAGTGGTGGTGGTGTTGGGGTTAGTGGTGGTTGATGATTGTGGTGGTCATAGTGGTTGGTGGTGGTAAAGCTGTACTCGGTGTCGGTGTGTCATGCTCATTGAGGTTAAATTTATCGTGACCATGAAATTAGAGATACGAATATTTATGATCGTAAGGTTATTTTTTTTTTCGTGACTATTAAGTTTAGTTTTGTGAGTATGAAGTTAAGGGATTCAGTTATCGTGATCACCAAGTTAAGGAGTTTAAACTATCGTGATTGTTATATTTACTGAGTTAAAAGATCATAGGGTTAAGGTCACGTAATTGTAGGTGAAAGAACTACATGTAATTATTTTCAAAGGGGTTAGGTTAGGTTATTAGACTCGAGAGGATAGTTAAGGTTATCGTATCCTTGAGTTTATTATTGTACTTGAAGTGATTTATCGTACATTAAGGATTATTACTTAGTGTTCTTGGCTTAGTCTGATAGTGATAATAGTAATGTATTTATTTACCAACTGAGTCATTGTATAATATTACCATGATACAAACTTAATGGCTTGGGGGCTTGATCCTTTGAGCCGTGAGTGTTGTGTAAAGGGGTTAAGGTTGTGATACTCGTGGGGGTTGTGGTACTCGTGGGGGGTTGTGTTTACTCGTGGGGGTTGTGGTACTCGTGTGGGGGGTTGTGGTACTCGTGGGGGTTGTGGTACTGTGGGGGGTTGTGGTACTCGTGGGGGTTGTGGTACTGTGTGGGGGTTGTGGTACTCTGTGGGTGGGGGTTGTGGTACTCGTGGGGGTTGTGGTACTCGTGGGGTTGTGGCACTGTGGGGGTTGTGGTACTGTGGGGTTGTGGTACTCGTGGGGCTGTGGTACTCGTGGGGTTGTGGTACTGTGGGGGTTGTGGTACTCGGGGGGGTTGTGGTACTGTGGGGGGGTACTCGTGGGGGTTGTGGTACTGTGGGGGTTGGGTACTGTGGGGTTGTGGTACTCATGGGGGTACTCCTGTGGGGGTTGTGGTACTGTGGGGGGTTGTGGTACTCGTGGGGGCTAGGTACTCGTGGGGGTTTGGTACTCTGGGGTTGAGGTACTGTGGTCGTGTGTGTGTGTGTGTGTGTGTGTGTGTGTGTGTGTGTGTGTGTGTGTGTGTGACAAGAACAAGTGTGGACTTGCCTCTCGCTAAAGATACTAAGATGTTTCTTGCTAGGGCTTGTATTGAGGTAACCTGACGCACGGGACACACTGCCACCACCACCACTACCACCAGCCTCCGGGGGGTGGGGGTGGTGGGTTGACATTATGACTTGCCAGTTGGTGTTTGACTGTGTTGTTGTGCAGTGTCATATTGTGAGATCTGCACCACTGTGGCATATGAGCTTCGTAGTGTCGTACTGGTGTCAGTAGGTCATGAAGTGGAATAAAATTTCATTGTCATACGGTGTCATAAGGATTTAGGTCATGTGGCGATCTGATGTCTTCATTGTGTCATGCTGTGTCATAAGGTCTTCTCCACTGCTGTGTTGTATCATAATAACAACACAATGACTGGTGGTAATGTTAGTTGACGCCTGATTGTTGTGCCCTGAGGATAAATTGGGTAATACCAGGATGTTGTGTGGTGTCATAATAATGTCATGAATATTTGTTTAAGATATCATATGTGGTGTCAGAGGAAGCTAGTACCGTAGTGTAATACAGTCGTGCTTGGTGTCATAATGGCGTCTTCAGTATGGTATGTGGTGTCATTACTGTGGCGTATGGTGTCATAAAAGTGTCTCCAGTGAGGTGTTGTGTCATAATAGCTGGCCATTCAGTCAGCCGGTGTCATAATGGATGGAGTGACACCAAAACACTACCTACCAATTGGTGTCAGACTAGTGTGTCGTATGGTGTCACAATAACTTATGGCATACCGGATTGAGGAGCACTAGTCTACAAATGACAATATGCCAAGTTGGTCCGTATTGCGTGTCATGCGGGTACAGTGAGCGGTGTTGATGGTGTGTGTTTACAGTGAGGTACAGGGTGTGGTTCAGTGTGTTGCGAGGGTCTCCGTGAATGGATGTTGCGGGTGCAGTGATGTGCGGAGTAAATTGTGGAGTATAGTGAATGGACACAGGTTTAGTCAGTGCGATGCTTTAAGACGGTAAGGGGACGACGTGTATAGTGCAGGTACTATTTGGTGGAGTAAGATACTGGAGGTTTATAGTGCATTAGTTTAGGGCGAGTTTGATTATGTATAGTGAGAAGCAGAGCAGTTACAGTGTGTATAGTGAGGTGAGTTGGAGTGATGGTGTGATTGTTCTCTGGGTGTATAGTATGGTGAGGGACGCCACCAGGTACCCGGTGACCTTCTTTTGGCGACGCCCTTACCTGTGTTGGCCTTCACCTTACCTCCCTCCTACCTACCGACCCTCCCCGCACCCATCCTACCTTCTCTACATTTCAACCTTACCCTCCCTCCACCCTACTGTCCCTCCCTCCCTCCATCCTACCTTCCTTCCTACACCCTGATTCCCTCCTACCTGCCCTATCCCTCACCCTCCTCCACCACCTATCTCAACTGCCACATACCTCATGTATTCTTATATATTAAAAATACGTTTAAAAGTAATACTACTGTTTCTAAAGTAATAATAATAATAATAATAATAATGATGATAATAATATTAATATTAATATTAATATTAATAATAATAACAATAATAATAATAATAATAATAATAATAGATTTTCACATTGAAACAATTATTTGGTAATGTTTACTCTTCACAGCTAAATACAAAACTTAGTGATATTGATATTATATGTTTTCGTTTTCATCATTACTTTGAAATTAACTTGTGATGGAGTGAATTGTTACTAATAATAAGAGGAAAGTTACAAGAGTTTAGTGTCGTGATATACAATAGAAGCGACGATAATTACATGGTGGGGGGCAGGTAGCCAGTCCCACGCGGAGTCCAGGACTCGCCTGACGCGGCAGGACACACCTTAGAGGTCCCTCCCCCTTTCATCACCATGAGTGGTCGACTGCCTAACCTGCAGGACCTCACCCGCCTGTTGACCCAGGGGCGGTTGCCTAGCCCCAGGGCAGACACTACAGCAGGTAGTGGTACCTCGACACACACCAAATCTGGGAGACACACAGGGGAAAGAAATGACTGTGGAGTGGACGCACTCCAGTCAGCACAGTCACCAAAGAGATCACAGCCATCTGCAGGAACGTCCAGTCAGTCCACACAATCTACTTCAAAGACTGTGATGCCAGCCGGTGACCCCAAGAGCGGAGACCTGAAGGAGTTCGTGCATGAGGTGGAGTTCCAGCACAACACCCTACTGGGCAAGATGCAGCTCCTGAGGGAGACATTGGCCAAGCAGCTCGCACCTTCAGGTAAACGTGTTTTTGTGTTTAAATATATTTTATCCAGGTGTTAAGATGTGAAAGTTTCCCAAAATGTGACGCTGAAAGATCTGGGGTTGATTTTATGATTTCTCAGAGTTCAGGAAAATTTATACTCTACTATGATATGTTTTGATGTCCTCTACTGACAATCTTCTTATTAGGGATAGTGTTAATTAGTGTTTATGTAATGTATACACACACACGTCACGTAGGAACACACATAAAGATAGTGCGTGGCCAAGCACAGAAAAAGAGAGCGAGGGAGTGAAAGAGGAAGGGACGAAAATAGACATAGCAGCTCCGGCGCCAACTCTGGACGCACCAACAAATCCAGTTTTTCCTGGGCGTCTGGAACTGTTGCCCACCCACCTCCTAGGGTCCCACCTCCACCCACCACAATAGGTACATAACCCCATGATGAAAATAGACAGAACTGATAAGAGATGGGGAAATAATAATAAGAAGAAGTCAGTCTCATCTTCAATCCCATCATAGGATTTGGCTTTCTGCGTTATAAGTCGTTTCGTTATTGTTGTTGACGCTTTTAAAGAGAGTAATGTTTACACTTATTATATACAGAGGCCACAGCCGCGCTAGGGAACGTTTTGTGGATGTTTGTCATAATGTTGGGTCATTACTATTGTAGCTCTCAGTCTTAGGATTAACTTGGGTTAAGTGAGACAACTATTGAATTGTAACAGTTTATTTAGCCAGAAAAATATAGATACAGAATGGATAATAATAATAATATTAACATGGCTGAGCCAGTTGAGAACCTGAGCTCTCTTTGAGGCACCTGATATATACTATTCATTTATCTCAAGGAAGTATTATGTAACATTTAGTATCATCTGGAATAGTACAATAGCATGGTGGTAATAAGTACATCTCATAGTGTTACCACTGTTATCACTTCAATATTTATTTATTTTATTATTTATTATTTATTTTTATTTATTTATTTATTTTTATATTTATTTATACATACATATACACATACCTATACACATATACACATATATACATATATATATACACATATATACATACACATATATATACATACACATATATACATACATACATATATATATATATATATATATATATATATATATATATATATATATATATATATATATATATATATATATATATATATATATATATATATATATATATATATATATATATATATATATACGTGAAGATGTTGTGTAGGTGAGAGTTGTGTGAGGTAGGTGGGGGGGGGAGGTGCTGACAGAGGTGATAAGGATAACACTAAAGATAACCGGATGTTCAGGAGGTTATGTGGGGTCAGGGCCACGACAGATATCATTGTAGTGAGATAACAGGATCAAGATTACCAAGTGTGATGGTTGGACTGGATGACTTCGCCAGGATAATTACTGTGGTGGTGATGATGATGATGATAGGAAGATGTTTGAGGGAGGAATGCACACAGATAAAACAGGAGGAAGAAGAGGAGGAGGCATAGGAGGAGGAGTAGGAGGTGCAGGAGGAGATGGTGTAGGAGGAGGAGGTGTAGGGGAGGGGGACGAGGTGATATAAGAGAAAGAGGAGGAGGAGGAGGCTAAGGGGAGGAGGAGGGAAGATGGAGGTGAAGTACAAGGGAAGGAGGTGGAGGAGGAGGTGGTGGTGACACTAATAGTGGTCAGCAGAAGAATGAGTGGTGAAGGGCGGGTGGTGTGTTCCCTTGAGTTTTATGCTATGACTAAATGCTCCAAGCTTGGCATAATGCGACCAACGATGCGACATACACTTTAATGGATAATTTTCTCTCCGTTTGTATCATTATTTCCTATTTTCTTTCACCCTATGATTAACCACCCTACCTCTAACCTAACCTAACCTTATCTAATCCTTGTAGTTAGGGTAAAGATACCTAACAAATGATGTGCCGTATAAGATATTGGAAACGCTTGAATGATTATGCACGGTGTTGTGTCGTAAGCCCGCGCCACTCCAGGTATTAATATATACGCATTCAAGACTCAAGCTTTTAATTCAATTTAGTTTAGTAAATAACCACCACTCCTGATCTGACTGGTGGATGTTTATTATTTTTTTTTCAAGTACCACCCTTGTGTAGTTCAGCTTTCTTATTCCACTACATCAACACCACCACCTTAGTTCCTCACAGTCTCTCCTTATTTTCGCATAGATTTGACTTATTTCGTTGTGAAGGTGAAGTCGTTCTTGTCGATTTTATTTTTGATTTCCACAAATTAATCTTGTATCCTCATGTCTGACACCGCAGATGCTTTTGCCACACTGATGGTGACACAGGTCATGATGGTGTTCACTATCAGGAGAGGAAGGCATTGATGTCAGTCACTTGAACTGTAGATTACCTTTACTGATATTCCGGCTGTACATTGCCACTCTCAGCAGAGGAACATCAGCTGTACAAACACTGTTTCGTGAGGCAATGTTTGAATGGGTTCCTTCTGTTCTTGATTGGTGAGGAACATCACCTAGGTGATAATGTTGTAGTCATCATCTTCATGTTTATACCGTAAACTCACTGTTTTCTTTCTCTCACAATATCGACAACCAGGAAATAATTTTCTGCGCAGAACAATTTTATCTTGTCTTTATGTTGTAGCCACTCCTTATGATTGAGTCCCTGGCAGGTGGACTTCATCTCCAGAGTGATTTTGTTATCTGGGTCAGGATGGTATGTGCCTTAGTGGAGTAGCTCTGATGACTTCCCCACACACACACACATGGTAGATACTGAGCGCAGGAGTGTGGTAGTGGTAGTTCTCTATAGCTATTGTTAGTCTCATAGACTGATGTCAGTCATGTGATGGAGAGGAGGCCTGATACACTGAGATTATCCTATTTTTTTAACTTATCTGTCTAGTGGAGTGTGTCTCCTCACTATCATCCGCCACATCAGTCGTAGGTTACTTAGGGTGATGGTCCCTGACGCTGAACAGTGACACACCCAGAGTATAGAACTAGCTGAAACTGTCCCTATAATGGTGGTGTGGTTTCGTATCTGATTTTTTATTTAGATTCGCATGTTCTCGTAATTTTAGAGGACCTTATATGATTATAGGGTCATTATACTCCAACTAGAGCAGGTGAATAGTAATAATGAATAAAACAGGTAGCTAATTAAAAAAAACACAACCTGCGTGAATGTGTATAATTTTTTCAAGAAGGATCAGAAACTGATTTTTTTTATAACTGGACTCTTTTTAGCAGGGTTTTCTTTAAGACATTTTAAACCGGACTCCCTTAAAGCAGACTTACTGAACGGACAACTTTCATAAAACTTTCATTAGGTTTTTTTTTTTTTTACAGAATTTGTTGTATTGAAAAGGAAGTCATGAGGCCTTGGGGACTGATCCTTTACTTCCTCCTTCGTTGACGACATGAGTTTTAACTTTTACAACTTACGACATTTTTATGACTTCTGATTACTGAGGCGACTCCAGCCCTCGTGAATACCCGAGTCGGTGATGATGATGATGATGATGAATACCTGAGTGAACGATGATAAGGATGATGAATACCTGAGTGAACGATGATGATGGTGATGAATACCTGAGTCAGTGATGATGATGAATACCTGAGTCACTGATGATGATGAATACATCATGAATTAATTTGTTCATTCAACCTCTGATCAAAATCTCTTTTTAAAGTTTTTATTTTTTGTGTATTTTTCGACGTAATTTTTTTATTGTCGATTAATTTTAATTGTATTTATTTGTTTAATGGCCTTGTTTATCGCTTTACGACATCATATATAATCTAGTCATGGTTTTGTGTTTGTTTTTTTCACTTTGTTTTTGTAAATTCAAGTTCGTTTTGTTTTCGTCCTCAGTTTTTTGGGTGTTCTTTTGTTGAGCATTTATTCGTTTTTTTGAGGCGACACATTTCTTGGCGTCGTCGTGAATGGGTCTTCAACTCCCGCCTCCATGTTATGATTTTGTGGGGCGTCAGCGGACCGTGAATCCTGCCAGAGTGGAGGAGGTGGAGTTGAGGAGGGGAGGAGGAGAAGGTGAAGGGAGGGGGGTAAGGAGGAGGAAGTGGTTGGAGGGGGAAGGAGGGGGATGTGGTGGGAGGGGGAAGTGGTGGGAGTAAGGAAAGGAGGAGGAGGAAATGGAGAGGGGGAAGGAAAGGAGGTGAAGGGAAGGGGGAAAGTAGGAGGATGAGGTGGATAGAGTGAGGAAAGGAGGACATGGGTTGGGGGAGACATGAAGAGGTGCAAGGAGGTGGTGCTGAGACACGAATATTACCAGAGGAGAGCATCGTCACACACACACACACACACACACACACACACACATACACATACACACACACAATCTGACTCACATAAACACGCCGCACGTATACACACAAACACTCATTCATTCACATACGGATGAATGAAAGGCGATACGATAACTACTGTATACAACTCCCTGTCACCAGTCCACTACCAGGCAGACTGTAGTAAGAGATCCAATGGTGTATGTACCCAGTTATCATATATAAACAGGAAGGTGTAATTTTCACCTACTCTACGAGTTCTTCTCTTTCATCGCTATACTCTGTTAATTCCCCCATGAAATTATATCAGTTTAGATTTCAAATAAGATGAATCTGTTCCATGATATTTAATTGTTTTCCCTGTTGTTGTGAGTTGATTTTGTTTATACGAAGTTAATACGTAATACAAGATTGCACTCGAGGTAGGTGTGTGTGTGTGTGTGTGTGTGTGTGTGTGTGTGTGCGTGTGCGTGTGTGTGTGTGTGTGTGTGTGTGTCAGGAATGAAACATTGTAACTTTCTGTTCTGGCTATAGGCAGACAGAGTTACACACGGCACTGTCCGCTCTACTCAGGTGATCTTGTGAGCGAGAGTACACTTATATATTGGCTATAATAGAAGGATTATTAACTATAAACAAACTACATGGTTTTTAGTGTGTTTGTTGGAGGTGGTGAAGGAAGGCTGGTGATATTT